TATATCAAAAAATTACAATTCAACAATAAAAAGACAACTCAATTTAAAAAATGGGGAAAGGATTTAAATTGACATTTCTTCAAAAAAGATATACAAATGGCCAACAAGCATTTATTAAAACATACTCAACATCATACATCATTAGGAAATGCAAATCAAAACTACAAGTTATCACTTCACACCTACTGGGATGACTAGCATCAAAAAGACAAATAATAACAAGTGTTAGTAAAAATGTGGAGAAACTGGAACCCTTATACACAGCTGATGGAAATATAAAATGGCATAATTGCTTTGAAAAACAGCTTGGCAGTCCAAAAGATTAAACACAGAGTTACTATGTGACCCACCAATTCTATTCCTAGGTATATACCCAAAAGAAATGAAAAGGAAAAAAAATGAGATACATCCTCACAAAAATTTGTACTCAAATATTCATAGAAGCATTCTCTACAACCTTTTCCTCCATTGTCAGGAAACCTTCAGCAAATATTTAAAATTAAGATTTAGATTAAGCCGGGCTTGGTGGCTCAGCCTGTAATCCCGTGCTTTGGGAGGCTGAGGTGAGTGGATTGCCTGAGCCCATGGGTTCGAGACCCACCTGGGCAACTTGGTGAGACCTCATCTCTACAATAAATTTAAAAAAAAATTAAGCTGGGCTCGGTGGCTCAGTCTGTAATCCTGCGCTTTGGGAGGCTGAGGTAAGTGGACTGCCTGAGCCCGCAGGTTCGAGACCTGCCTGGGCAATTTGGCGAGACCTCATCTCCACAATAAATAAAAAAAATTAGCCGGGCATGGTAGTGTGTGCCTGTAGTTCCAGCTACTTGAAAGGCTGAGGTGGAAGGATCGCCAGAGCCCAGCAGGTCGAGGCTGCGGTGGCCGGGAGCGGCCACTGCACTCCAGTCTGGGCGACAGAGTGAGACTCCAACTCAAAAAAAAAAAAAAAAGATTTAGGTTAAAATTAAACAGTGTGTGAGGCTACCATTACCAACTAACTCAACTGAGGTGATAAATAAATGAATAGACATACACCGTGTACAGTTAAATCTGCACATACCCAGGCAATGATAATCACCAATAAATCTTTACATGGTAGCTAGTAAGTTTCTGCTAATATTAGTTATAAAATATACTTGGCTTCAGGAAAATTTAAATAGAAAAAAGATACATCTGAAAATTAACAAAATAAATTCACAACTAGAATTTGCTTTCTTTAGGTCCTTAATCTCTATTATCCTTAAGCAGTAGGCTCTAAGCTCAAGATATGTGATCACGGTGCTTCTCCTTATATAATGAATGCAAAAAGGTTCTTTTCTCATTAATGAGCTTACAGAGAATAATACTTAACCATTAAAGGAATTAATCACTAATGGAAAGGGACCAAGAAGAATGTATAACACTATGCAGACAATTTATAGGAAAAGCGTAAATAATATGTACATTATTCCACAGAAATAATCTGGAAACTTCTTCACACAAAGATGGAAAAAATTCAAGACTCATGGAACTGGAATTCCTAATCTTTCCTTTACATACATGTATAGGTAACTATATTGAAAGAGAGAGAGAGAAAAGACAAAAAAGATAGTAAAGAATATTTTCTTTCTGGAACCATTTCATTAAACTTTGTTCCCCAATGTTAAAAAATCTGTTTGATCTACAAAATGGAGGGGAAAACTATCCAGCCTTTTTCACTGAGCAGACTCGTGGCACAGATGATATAGTTAAAGCAATTATGTAGTGAGCAACCTGGAAGAAATGTGTTATATTTGGGCACTATTTATACACTGTTGGTGGTAGTATAAATTGCTACAATCATTTTAGAAAGTAATTTGGCAATATATACTGAGAACTTTAAAAATATCCATATCTTTTGACTAAAGTTCTATTTCTGGAATCTGTTCCAAAGAAATCACATGAAATATGCACAGAGATAACTGTCCAAGTATTACTTATCATAGAAAAAATGAAAAACAACCCTATATGTCCAACAAGAGAAGTGATTTTAAAATTGTGTATATCCACAAGGCGCAGAGTATTATAAAATTATTTTAAGATGTTTATCAAGAATATATCTTAACTTTTTTCTTTTCCTAATATATTTTCTAATTTTAAAGTAATTCAGGAAGATCCTCCCAAAAAAGGGGCTCCCTTGTCGTACACTCGGAATTTGTTCCTCCAGATCAAATGGTCAACCAAAGTTTTTATCTGGAAGTTTTGAGGTTAGTCATAATTTACAGACAAACGTCGTGAGTTGTGGCAAATAAGTGACTGGTTCTTCCACCATAACAACGCACCTGTCCACACCACACTGAGTGTTAAGCAGCTTTTGACCAAAAATAGCATGACCCCTGTATACCACCCTTTCTATTCGCCCGATCTCACCCAGAGACTTTTTTTTGTTTCCCAAAATGAAAAAGGCCTCAAAGGGAAATGTTTTGCCAAAGTGGAAGAGGTAAAGCAGCAGAAGTGGCCAGGCACGGTAGCTCAAGCCTGTAATCCCAGCACTTTGAGAGGCCCAGATGAAAGGATTGCCTGAGCCCACGGGTTCAAGACCAGCCTGGGCAACTTGACGAGACCTCATCTCTATAACAAATCAAAAACTTAGCCTGGCGTGGTAGCGCATGCCTGTAGTTCTGGCTACTTGGAAGGCTGAAGCGGAAGGATCGCCAGAGCTCAGCAGGTCGAGGCTGGGGTGGCCGTGAGTGTGACACTACACTCCAGACTGGGCGATGGAGTGAGACTCCAACTTAAAAAAAAAAAAAAACAGCAGAAGCACTAAAAGTCATCAAAATTGATGTGTTCAAAAGCCGTTTTGAGCCATAGAAAAAGTGTTTCAATAGGCGTACTACATCAAACGGAGAATAATTTGAATGTGACTGAATTTCAAACATGTAAGAATAAATATACAATTTTTAATAAATAAAATTCGGCTTTTTGGGTGTCCTCCCTCATATACGCTCAAGGTAGAAGAAAATTCAAAAATAAAAACAAAAAAAAGCAATCGGCTCATTCTCTTATGTAGTCCTCTATCCTCAACTCCAAAAGGTAACCATTGTTAAATTTTGTGTATGTATATATGTAAGCTTCTAGAAATTTTCTGAACATACAGACTTATTCAAAAAATATTTATTTATATACGGGTAATCTTTTGTTTTTAATGCATGTAGAGTAACACCAACCATACTGTTTTCAATTTGCTTCTTATGTTTTGATTACTGTTCCCTATTAGCACATATAGACCTACCTTATTCATTTAAACGGAAGTTCAACTATGTATCAGGCTTTAGATTGATATTTAATAGTTTAGATATTTTTCTGCTTACCAATAATGCAATAATTAATATATTTGGATATATAACTTTATGTGCTAGTTGTGATGGTCAGTTCCTAAAAGTAGAATTTCAACTATTTTATTTTATTTTTTTGGGTCAGGGTCTCACTCTGATGCCCAGGCTGGAGTGCAGTGGCCCAATCACAGCACCACAGCCTTGACCTACTGGGCTCAGGAGATCCGCTTCAGCTTCCCAAGTGGCTTGGACTATAGGTGTGCACCACCACAACTGGCTAATATTTTTTTAAATTTTTTTTTGTAGAGACAAGGTCTTACTATGTTGTCCAGACTGGTCGTGGACTCCTGGCCTCAAGTGATCCTTCTGCCTCAGCCTCCCAAAGTGCAGAGACTACAGGCGTGATAGTCAAATCATCCACCGAAAATACTGCAATGAGGCCAGGCATAGTGGCTCACGCCTGTAATACCAACACTTTGGGATTTTTATATAAGCTTTTTTTTTTTTTAAAGATTTTTTTCTTCTGGCTGATAAATTATCTAAATGTTAAATGTCTTTAATTTTTATCTAATTTTGAAAAAAATTTTATTTTTTCAGATCTCTAGCATCAAAGGGAAACTTTTTCTTCTTTTCCTTATTGAGGTAGCATCTCTGAGTCTCTAAACTGAGGTTTCCCAACAATAATACCAGTGCACTGCCACAAGATAATTGTGCTCTAAAGAGCTGGGTAATAACAAAATTTGTTATAACCATTGCTAACATTAAATTCTCTTAAGAATAAAAGCTGGCCGGGCTCGGTGACTCAGCCTGTAATCCCAGCACTTGTAGTACAGGTTTCTCTCACCAGGTTAAGTGTTCTACAAACCCATCCATATCAGTGTACCAGCTAGCATTTTTGTGAGCAGCTGAGTTTAAGTCAGTGAATTTTTTTTGAGATTCTTTCAATGTGCTTGCCAATTTCATGATGAGTGATTTACAAGAACAACCTGCCCACACCACACCACACTGAGTATTCAGCAGTTTTTGAGCAAAAACTGCATGACCCAAGTGCCCCATCCTCCCTATTCACCAGATCTTGCCCTGAGTGACTTTTTTTTGTTTCTCAGATGACAAAAGTCCTCAAAGGGAAACATTTTTCTGCTACGGAAGAGGTGAAACAAAAAACAGCAGCAGCACTAAAAGGCATCAAAATTTAACAGTTCAAAAACTGTTTTGAGCAGTAGAAAAAGTATCTTGATAGGTGTATTGCATCAAACAGAGAGTACTCTGAAGGTAACTGAAGTTTAAACACATAAGAATAAATGCACAGCTTGTTATAAACAAATTCTGGGGGTTTTTTTTGGGGTCTTTTATCATATACAGATATGACCAAAGAGAATTAACAGAGTAACGCCAAAGGGAGAGTTGAGGCCTAGGAGAAGGCTAGCTAAAGGTTATACAAAAAGAGAAGATCTAGTCCTTTACTACTGCATAGTCTTTTAAAAAAAATTCCTCACTCTTTTAATTTCTTTCTCCCAGCCTTTAAGAGCCACTTAATTGTCAGCAATGAAAAAGGTGAATCTTAAAGGAGCGGATGATCATTGTGGCACCTTTAGAAGCTTAGTTTTACAAGAAAGAAAAATAGAGAGCTGAGAGTCTCAAGGAAAATCACAAATGAGTACAATAAATATTTCTAGAGATGTGGAATAACAAAATAAAACTTGTACTTACAACTTGAGATTCACGAGCCTTAGGAAACATTTTGGCGACATTGAGGCCATCAATGACAATATCAAATGGAGGACAAGATTTTACAAAGTTCTCAAATCTCTTAAGTTCCTAAAAAAGAAAAGTCAGACAAAATATTAATCAGAACATAGTAAGGATACTATTCTAAACACACTGAAATGACATTATTATTTTGATAATTCAAAATATTCATCCCTTACACACATACACACACACACACACACACACACACATACATTCTCAAAATGAAATCTGAAAAAGTCAGCCTAATTCATGCAACTGCACACAAGGATCTGATACATCTTATACTCTCATAGTGCTTTACACTTCACAAACTTCTTTCATCTGTAATTCCATTTAATCTGCAGCTAGCCTATCTAGACTTCTAAATTGACCCACATGATAGTTACAATGAGAATGAAATGTCAATAGTCCTGTAAGTCAAGAAGAGTGAACTGTATTGAAAGAACAAGGCACCAAAATCTGAAGCTCTTCTCATTAAGAGGCTTTTGTTTATTTATGGCTGTTTTGAAGAGATGAAGATGCAGCTAATGAGTCACTCAGCAAATATTCATTGCTACTATATTCCTAGCAGTTTACCAAAGAGACAAAAACACCTAACTTAGTGGAGTTTAGTGGGAAGACATGCAAAATAAACCAGATAAATAAGTAGAGTATATTAAATGTCAAATGTGATGAGTGGTATGGAGAAAAAATACTAAAAAAAAGTTGGATTAACACAAAAGAAGACATGAAAGGAAAAACAGAAGAGCAAAAACCACATTGGATAAATAGAAGACAAAGAGCAAAATAAAATATTTAAATGAAACCCTATCATAAATGATATCTATAATAGATATATGTATCTTTTTTGAGTTGGAGTCTTACTCCGTTGCCCAGACTGGAGTGCAGTGGTATGCTCCCGGCCACCGAAGCCTCGACCTGCTGGGCTCCAGCGATCTTTCCGTCTCAGTCTTCTAAGTGGCTGGAACTACAGGCACGTGCTACCATACCCAGCAAATTTTTGATTTATTGTAGAGACAAAGTCCCACCAAGTTGCCCGGGTGAGTCTCGAGCCTACAGACTCAGGCAATCCACTCAACCGGCCTCCCAAAGTGCTGAGATTACAGGCTGAGCCACCGAACCCAGTCGATATATGTATCTTTAACACAGAATCAGTTGAAAGTGAAAAGTAGGTGAAAAATGTTTCATGCACCAATGAGCTTAAGAAACTTGAAGTGGCAACACTATCATTAGATAAAATAGACTTGAAGAAAAAGGAATACAACAACAAAAAGGAGTGAATATTTATAATGTTGATAGGATCGATATATCAGGAAGTCATATCATCAATAAGAACAGAGCTTCAAATTGCACAGAAGCAAAAGCTGACAGAACTGAAAGGAGAAAGAAATAAATCTACAATTATGGATGGAGATTTCAACACCCTTTTCTACATAATTGATAGAACACGTAGATAAAAATCAGTAAGGATACAGAAAACAAAATTAACTATTAACCACTTTGACTTGATTGATACAGCTACAGGAGACTACTCCCAACAATAGCAGAACCCATACTCCTTAAGTGGACATGGGATATCTACCAAGATAGACCACAAGCTAGGCCATAAAATGTCGCAGTACATTTCAAAATATTAAGATCTTAAAGAGTATGTCTGAGCCGGGCTCGGTGGCTCAGCCTGTAATCCCGCGCTTGAGAAGCTAAGGTGAGTGAATTGCCTGAGCCCACAGGTTCGAGACCCACCTGGGCAACTTGATGAGACCTCATCTCTACAATAAATCAAAAATTAGCCGGGCGTGGTAGCGCACGCGCCTGTAGTTCCAGCTACTTGGAAGGCTGAGGCGGAAGGATCCAGAGCCCAGCAGGTCAAGGCTGCATTGGCCAGGAGCGGCCACTGCACCCCAGTCTGGGCAACAGAGTGAGATTCCAACTCAAAAAAAAAAGAGTATGTCTGCTGATAAATAAATCACACACACACACACACACACACACACACACTCTCTTAAAACAAAAAAACAATAGCAGTACGATATCTATAAAAGCCCCAGATGTTTCTAAATAACACTTCTCAACAACCCATGGGCCAAAAAATAAATTAAAGGAAATCAAAAAACATTTTGAACTAAGTGATAAAAAGTCTACATATCAAAATTAATGGGATGCAGTAGACCAGTATTTAATGGGAAACATATAGCTTTAAATGCTTACATGAACAGAAGAAAAGTCATAGAACACTGATCTAAGTTTTTACTTTAAAAAGTTAGAAAAAGAAGAGCAAATTAAATTTCAAGGAAAGTAGTGCAACAAAAAGTAGAAATCCAAGAAACAGAAAAAAGGAAACTGCTGGGCGTGCTGGCTCACACTTATAATCCCAGGGCTTTGGGAGGCTGAGGTGAGAGGACTGCTTGAGCCCACAGGTTCAAGACCAGCCTGGGCAACTTGGCGAGACCTCATCTCTACAATAAAAAATCCAAAAATTAACCAGGTGTGGTGGCACATGTCTATAGTTCCAGCTACTTGGAAGGCTGAGGCAGAAGGATCCTCTGAGTCCAGCAGGTCGAGGCTGTGGTGGCCGGGAATGTGCCACTGCCCTCCAGCTGGGGTGAGAGAGTAAGATTCCAATTCAAAAAAAAAAGGAAAAGAAAAAAGAAAACTAATGAGGCAAAAATATTAAAAAAAAAAAAAGAGAGAGAAGAAAAGAAACTCAATCCCTATTTCACATCACACACAAAAGTTAAAGTTAGATGGATCATAAACCTAAAGCCAAAACTGTGAAAATTCTAGAAAAAAACAGGAGAATTATTTGCAACATCAAGGTAGGCAAAAATTGCTAGGGCAACAAATAAAGTCATCAGTAATATTTACATAGGGGATCCTTTGATATGATGCCTCTGAGAAGGGCACGACATAACTTTTCTAATATTCTTGCCAAAAAAGCATGACTTGAATCTATTCAAAAGGAAATTATCAGATAAACCCAAATTGAGAGATATTCTACAAAATAAAAGGTCTATACTTGTTTTTGTCTTTTTTTAAGTTAAGGGTCCAAGAAAGATAAAGAACTAAGATTAAAAGACGACAAACAAACATGATAACTAATCCCACTGTGTGGTCTGGACTGGATCTAAAGGAAGGAGAAACTCATTAAGAACATTACTGGAACAAGTGACAAAACCTGAGCATCAACTGTGAACTAAATAATATTATTATATCAATGTTACAAAGATGAAGAACTTTGATCTAACAAGCACATGAAAAGGTACTCAACATTATTAGTCTTTAGGAAAATGTAAACTTAAAACCATAGCAGGATATCACCACACACCCACTAAATGGCTGAAATTAAAAATACTGACAATAACAAGTATTTGGAGCAATTGGAACTTCCAAATATTGCTGGCGGAAATGCAGAACAGTACAACCACTTTGAAAAACAACTTAGTAGTTTCTTATAAAGTTAAGTGTTGGGAGTGGATGTGATGTGGGGAGCAGACGAGCACTGTCGCTGTAGCAGGCCTTGAGTAAAAGGCCCAAGCGAAGGTAAGGTCTCGCTTAATGGCCCCAAGCTCACAGGCAAGGTCTCGCTTAGAAGCTCTACATCCTACCAAAGGCAGGTTGTGAGGGATGCAACCTGCTACATGAAACGGTGTCTCATATGCCCACACATCCAGGTGCACATAGCATAAATAAAGCCTTAGTTACAACAAGATAACTGTGAAACAACTCACCTTTAGGTAGCAACAAATTCCATTATAGCTCTCTCACAGACCTTGAATCCATTCCAACTTTTTTTGTGCTTAATCATAAAATAAACATGCTGAGCTAGTTCAGGGTCACTTCTCCTCCATCAGAAGAAAGTGTCCCACCTGGCCCCAGCTTTTCTTTATGTCTTTGTGTCTATGTCTTTCTTTTTTTTTATATATATATTTATTCCAATATCCAATAAACCCTTAAATTTAAATTTTAGGGTGACTGACTCTGACTTTAAAAGGAAATTCACATGCATAAAAATATATAAAACATGCAATGCAGTTATTTCTCAACAAAAGTAATATTGAAGATATATAAAAACCAGATAAAAGCAATATTTATAATATACACATATGTATATTTTCAATGGCTCTATTATTTCCTGCACTACAAATGGAGCATTTAATACCCTACTATATTTATTCTAAGTGCACATTAACATATTATAAACAGTTTGACTTGTTTTCACTTATATGTCAAACACAATACTGACTTTGTAAAATCTTATCAATTCACTTTTTCATCACATAAAAAGTCAATTTCATGTTTTTATATTTATAAACTTGCTTGCACTTCTGTGTTTTGTTAGTGTATTTTTAAAGTTGTAAGATCTCAGATCAACAGAGACCTTACCGTAATAAGTTTCTACAATTTTTTTAACTTTAATTTTGTCTTTTTAATTTTAAAATTGTCGGGTACAATTCAGGGTTAGCTATACAAATATTCATTGTACAGGTACCCTTGTTGATGAGGTGTTCCCCGCTCCCCCAGGAAGATTTCTACTGCTGTCAATCCCTCCTCCCTGCCTCCCTCCCCCGTTTTCTGCTTCTGTCAATCCTTTTGTTATAGTATTAAAGTAGCTGTTCAAAGTCCACTTATGAGTGAGACCATTTGAAGATCATCTTCCCATTCCTACCCCTCTCCACCAGTTGATGGCAATCACCCTTCTACCTTTTCTTTTATAAATTTAGCTGTTTCTTTCATTTTTTACTTAATAAAAAATCTTCCAGATTCACTCATGTTATCACAAATAAGAAAATATTTTCTTATTTTTAAAAAAATTATGCTGAGTAATTTTCCACTGTGTGTGTGTGTGTGTGTGTGTGTGTGTGTGTGTGTGTGTGTCATTTTCTGTATTGATTCATTCATTGGTGAACACTTAGATTATTTTTCAGATCTTGACTATTGAAAATAATGCTCTCATGACTGTAAGAATGTAAATATTGCTTTGAGATACTGGTCTATGTCTTTCTTAATCTCTGGTCGCTCTCTCTTGGGACCCTCAAGGCAGCTGCACAGGCCGCGGCAGTTAAGCA